GGTTCTCATTGGCTTTCTTGTTATGTTGTGTGTAAGAAGGGTTCTCATTGGCTTTCTTGTTATGTTGTGTGTAAGAAGGGTTCTCATTGGCTTCCTTGTTATGTTGTGTGTAAACTGTGACCACCATCTTCTCACCATGCCCACCTCCTGGCCCCACCCCCAATGCCACGCCCACCTCTCCCAACCAGGTCCGTATGCCCAACAGCCTGGAGGTTCAGCCTGTGGAATGCGCCATAGTGGTGAATGCAGCGGGGGCCCAATCTGGCAAAGTGGCCCAACTGGCAGGCATAGGCTCGGGCCCCGAAGACAGCCTGGCTAGTGTCCCGGTGCCTGTGGAGCCCAGGAAAAGGTACCTAATAGATGGGGGCACCCTGGATGTGCCAGTGAGGCAAGGGGGCATTCGGCATGTACCAGCTAGGTGTGGGTATCTAGGATGTACCCATTAAGCAGGGGCATCTAGGACGTACCAATGAGGAGGGGGTAACTGGGACATACCCGTACACACTGGTCCTGTTCATGCAGCGGGGCAGGCAGAAGTAATTAGGAAACGCCAGTTTAGTTCAGCAACCAGGCTGGCGTATATGGTTATAAAGCGAGATAGACTCAAAATGGTCAACCTTCCGCTGCCCCGTGACACAGTAAATACAGTTATAGCATTTCCCTCCTCTCTGCATTCGACTCGTTTGCCATGAAGATACGTATATGTGCTGAACTGTCCAGACGGGCCGGGTCTCGACACCCCCTTCTTGATCGACTATTCGGGAGTCTACTGCAGACGAGAAGGACTCGGGGGGAACTACATCGCAGGATTGTCCCCTGAGGAGGTGCGAAATGATCAGTCACACTCATACTCTTCCCCATATGTGGGATTCAAACCCACAACCTTCAGTACCTCTACCCCTTTGCACAGTTACAGAGAATTCCAGATTACAAGGTTTTTATTTCTGTTTATACATTCTTGATGTCAGTGTTTTCATCTCGTTTCCGACTCAGAATGAGGAACCCGACTCCGGCGACCTGGAGGTCAATTACGGCTTCTTCCAGGAGAATCTCTGGCCACTGTTAGCTCGCCGCCTCCCCGCTTTTGAATGCTGCAAGGTGAGGTGTGCTGTGTAAGGTGTGGGGGCCACTAGGGAACTCAGCACAGGCCCCGCCCCCTAAATAGAACTTTGTATTTAAATTAAGTTGTGCCCGCCCCGTATCACACTCTCCTATGCTGTTGCCTTCATACATGGCTGCTCACCGTGAACAGTGTTGGGGAAGTTACTCATAAAGGTAATCCTTTAGAGACAGCGGTGGGAAAATTCAGACCAAGGTTTCGTTCCAACCAACCAGTTGAGCACTCCGTGACTATGACTCTTTATACTCAATTTATTGGTTGAAACAAAACCTTGATCTGGATTTGTAGTTTCTGGACCTGAACTTTCCACCTCTGGTTCATCTCCCTCAGTAATGGTTTCTCTTTAACAGATACACCGAGTAGGAGTGCAAGATTTTTTTTTCAACCAACCAGTTGAGTATAAAGAGTCACAGTCATTGAGTACTCAACTGGTCGGTTGAAACAAAAACTGGATTTGTACTTTCTGGACCTGAATTTTCCACCTCTGCCTAACAGATTTCTATAGGACTGTGTTTGCCAATGTGGTGCTCAGGCACCCACAGACAGTCCCAGCTCCCAACAGCTAGAGCCGGGTTGAGAAACATTGCTGTAGGATAACGTGGATATTCTGAGGTGAAAATTCTGTAATGGATTACGTTTGTCAGTAGCTTCCCCAACACTGACCGTGAAGGAGCGGTAAGGTGATCTAAACTGTGTGGGGACGGTCTCCGGCAGGTCACAAGCGCCTGGGCTGGCTACTACGACTACAACACCTTCGACCAGAACGGCATTCTGGGCCTGCATCCTCTGGTGAACAACATGTACATTGCAACCGGCTTCAGTGGGCATGGCCTGCAGCAGTCACCGGCGGTGGGGCGCGCTCTGGCCGAGCTCATCCTGGACGGGGGCTTCCGCACCCTGGATCTCAGCGCTCTGGGATTCGAGCGCATCTTCTACAAAGAGCCGGTGCTGGAGAGGAACATCGTGTGAGGGCTCCAGGAATGGAAGGGCACCCAGTAGAGGGATGATGGAATGGGAGAGTGCTGCAGAGAGCACGCCAAGGCCCCCCGTGGCCCCCCCGGCATCTCTGTCCACCGTCACGGAGGCATTCTGAGGCGCTCCTGCCGTTTTTCAGGTTCCCCAACTTTGGCTGGTCAGAGCCTACGTGTGATTAAGTGCAAAACGCTGTGTAAATACTGAGATCTATAAATACAAGCTGCATCTGATAGCCTTTTTGGATCGCTGTGTACTTTCTGCTGCATGATTTAAAATGAGTCAATTTTCTGTATCAGGTTTTGTTTTAACATGAAGTCTCATTTATCAGCACAGTCTGGTCAATAAATGCTGTATTTTTATTAATATGTTGTGTTTCCACTTTCATTTACACAAGTAAATATGTATTATATTAAATCATGTATATATAAATATAGATATAAATATAAATATAAAAAAAACAATAAGGTTCCATAGAACTACTGTACGTGCTTTGGACCCTTAAATATTCAGGCGTCGATCCCCCGTTAGGCGTCATGATGGCGCTCTTACATCGCCGGTGAATGTTTCTGCGCGCTCCGCTTTACTGTGATTGGCTGTTTGTCCTGTTTGAAGATGGCGGACATGGAGAAATGTGGAAGAGGTGAGGCTGGTGAAGACTGCGGGACGGAGGAGATTGTCCGGGAATCCAAAAAGCAAAAGAAGGACAATGGGGAAGAGGGAAACGGTCACGTTTCGTCCGATGTTTCTGTGCTGGCGGGTTTTGAGACCAAATCGGTGTTGCGGGACTCCGCGCGGGAGAAGAACATTTTCATTCACGGAATGGTAATAAAACGTCACCTTTGAATAGTAAGCACCAACGCAAATGCATGCTATTTTTGTTGTGCGTTATTGTCCATATAACTATCTAAGTAATTATTATCTTGGCGTGTTCTGATGAGTTTTTAATGCTTGCATATGCAGGGAGATATTAGCTAGATGGTGCAGCTTTGCATGATCACCACTAGCTGGTGATATTTGACCAACATTGAGCTTGCTATCGCCCTCCAGTGAGGTATGGAGAAATTTATTTTTCTGAATTGCTAAAGCACATTTCCTGAAACCTTCCATCCTCTTCCCAAAACAGTAAACACAAAACTCGGTTTTGAAGTTTTCAAACAGCTTTCACAAAACTCGTCTTGTAAAATCAAACAATATACTCAAAACTTGTATCTTTACTCAAACTGCTTTCAGATCATGCATCAAGCCAGTCGGTACATAAACACTACTGAGCAGTCATTACACAGCACAAAATTGAAAACGTTACCAGTCAAAACTGTTGCTGGCATGCAGAGAAACATGTTTACTGTGGATGTGGTCTTTTGCATAGTAAGGTGCAATATTGGAAACCAAAAGACTACAGTAAAAATGTCTGTATACAACTATACATTAAGCAATATGTAATGTTTGCAGTATTCAGTACTCCAAAAAAGGATAAAATAAAAAAATCTAAATGAAGGGCACATTATAGTAATATTTAGTATAACTGCCAAGCCAAAGTCAAGGAATAATATTCATTCTGCCTGATCGTCATGTTTCAGGACTAGGTCAGGACAGAGAATGTCAGCTAAATCGCAGTAAATGTTCTCCCTTGCTAGGCAACGGGGGACGAATTCTTTGTTGTAACTCATCCATACCTTGACATCGAAATTTGATTCACATATGGCATTAGGACTCTGTTTCGACACGAATTCTATAGGTTCTAGTTACTAAGCAGCTAAATGTCGATGTTGTCATGTCTGTCTGCTCTTGCTGAATCTTTATCCACCGCTTTGGGTCAGTTATGCGGGGAACGGCATTGTACCAGACGGAATTCTGCCTAGTACACACTGTCTGTGGTTTTTATTTTTATGCATCTAATGATTGCAACAGATTGCTTAAACGTACTTAAGCAAACCACCCCGTTGGAAGTTCTCCATCCGTGCAAAGGGCGTATGTGGTTTCTTACTGAAGTTGAACCCATTCTGAATGGCCTTTACCAGGAGAATTAACACGCCGAGGTCTCTCCGGTCTCCGCAGCTGGCTGGCCAGGAGGCGGTGGTGATCCTGGAGAAGACCCCCATCCGCGAGGACACCGTGTCGGCGCTGCTTGAGGGCTCGCGGCTGACGCTCGAAATGCGGAACGACATTTACAGCACGTACCGCGCTCAGCCGCCCGTGCAGTTGAACGGTAGGTCGGCGCGAGCTCCGCGTGACGCTGCCTCGAGCCTAATTCATACTTGACCTTCCGGCCGATCCGATCCGCGGTTTAGAGAGTGACAAACAGCGGCTGAGGCCGACACTGGCGCAGCGTAACACTGTGGACAAACTCCTACGGGTACACGTATTTGTTTACATAGCTCCCATTAATAATGTAAACGAGCCTTATTAAAGCCCTGCCCACGCAAGCTCTTGACGTCATTCATCGTGCACGTGGCTCGCCCATAGACTGTGGTTAATCGGCTTCTCGTGCCTGTAATATGTTGACTTTGTATTTATTTCCCTGTAATTCTTTTGAATACCGGCTTCGTTTTCCCGGATCCATTTTCATTAAATTTTTATTAAAAAAAAAAAAAATTAAGTACTTTTGTATAGGGCTACATGACAATGTGTATTTTGCTCTACAGTGTTTGGGCCTTTGGGCACTCACACCTTTCTCACCTGGTGTCACTTTGAAGCATGAGAAGCTCTTCTGTGTGGTGTTTGTTTTCATATTTTCCATTGTTGTCAGGATCCGGTGATTATAATGTATAATTAATAAAGAACGGTCACTGAAAGGTATGGATTGTAAATAGGTGCTTTAGGCAAACAAAAAAGCACTGAGCACATTATTTTCAGTAAACGGGCAACAGGCAAGGAAATGTCTTTTATTAATGTCACATTTAATGTTTATAACATCCACTGGCAGTTTGGGATTCCACACTTCACCAAGCACACTGGGATGGCACAGAGTTAAGGTCTTTTAAATTGAAGCCCTGCTTTAAAACGTGGGTTAAAGCCTATGTCCTCATGCAGTCAGGATTAGAGTGCCACTATTAGAACAGAAGAACATAAGAAATTTACAAACGAGAGGAGGCCATTCGGCCCATCAAGCTCGTTTGGGGAGAACTTAACTAATAGCTCAGAGTTGTTAAAATCTTATCTAGCTCTGATTTTAAAGGAACCCATGGTTTTAGCTTCCGCTACACTAGCAGGAAGACTATTCCATATTCTAACTACACCCTGTGTAATGAAGTGCTTTCTCAAATTTGTTTTAAAATGTTCTCCCGCTAATTTCCACTTATGGCCACGAGTTCTAGTATTTAGACTAATATTGAAATAGTTATTTGGCTGAAGGGCATCCAGACCCGTTAGAATCTTATAGACCTGAATCATATCCCCCCTTAGTCTCCTTTGCTCAAGGCTAAACAGATTCAGTTCCGCTAACCTCTCCT